TTCAGTCTCATGTACTTAATCTATCTTCTGTTGTGGTTCGATCTTCTTGATTAAATTCTGGAATATAATATTCGACTCCAGACTTGTCCCTACAATTAAGTTGGCCATTTTCTTGGTTTTTTGAACTCTTATTTCTGTGTGTCTGTATTTAATTTTCCTGGTATAGCACTCCTTTCAGAACTTCTTAGAGATCTGGTCTTGTGTTGGAAAATTCTTTCAGGTTTTGTTTATCTGAGAATGTTCTTGTTTTTTTTTCCCATATGAAGGATAATCTTGCTAGATACAGTATTCTTGGTTGAAATTGCTTTTCCCTTAATACTTTGAATATATTTTCCCATTCTTTTCTCACTCACATTGCTTCCAATGAGAGGTCTCCTGTTAGCCTGATGGGATATCCTTTGTCGGTAACTTGACATTTCTCTTTTGCCAACCTTAGTATCTTGTCTTTGTCTGTGGTTTTGGTCAGTCTGGCTATATGTGTCTTGGAGAAGATCTTCTTGGGTTGATCCTGTTTGGGGCCCTTTGTATTTCCTGGGACTAGATCTTTGAATACCTCTCTAGGTTTGGAAAGTTCTCTTGCAGGATTTCATGGAGTAGATTATCAATGCCCTTATGGGTCTCTTCATCTTCTGGGATACCAATTATCTGGATGTTTGAACATTTGATGGTATCTAGTATTTCTCGTATATTATTCTCATTTTGGGGGCAATTTTCTCAGTCTTCATGGTGGATTTTTCTAGGTCAGAGATTCTATCTTTTACATCTGAGATTCGATTTTCTGTATGATCTAGTCTGCTTTTAATAGTTTCAAGGGAGGTTTTGACCTCCTGTGTTATAGCCTTCATCTCTAACAGGTCCATTTGATTCTTTGTTATGGTGTGTATTTCCTCTTTTAGATCTTGCAAGAATTTCCTCACCTGGAACTCATCAGCTCCTTTCTCCTGCGTCTTCTGCAGTTCATTGAGTCTTTATCTTCCACCTTTGTTAGCTTTGTTGCTATGAATATTCTGAATTCTTTATCTGACATTCCCATGAGTTTCACTGTACTGTATGAGGATGAAGAGGAGTTATTCTTTTCCCTTGGAGGAGAGGTATCTTCTTGCTTTCCCATATTTCTTGTAAGCCTGCGGTGATTTCTAGTCATCTGATGATGTGTTTCTTCCTAATTTTTTAAAATTTTTATTATTATTTATACATTTAATCACTATATATAATTTAGATTGTAAATAGACTATACCCAGCATGATATACACCTCAGTCCAGTCCAGTTGAGAACACTATATACGTCTTCATCAACACTTAATAAACCATATCTGTGTCCCACAAATCTCTTACCTCTCTATTTTTTCCCCAAATTTCCTTTTCTACACTCTTCCCCTCCCACACTCTTAAAAACTCTTTCCACTTTGTCTCTAGTGTCCATGACCATTTTTAATGCTTTTATGTCCTCCAGTCTTTCAGTTTCTATCAGAGTGTGGACAGTCGATATATGTTAAGTGGAGATATACAATGCCTCTGTTTCATAGCCTGACTTGCTTCACTCAACAACAAATCTTCCATATTCGTCCCCTTTCTATCACATTCTAGGGCTTTGTGTTTTTTTTTTGGCTGAGTAGTACTCCATGGAGTATATATGCCACACTTTTTCAATCCATTCATCTGTTTGAGGACATTTGGGTTGACCCTATGTCTTAGCAATCATGAATAATGCTGCAATGAATATAGATGTGCAAGCACTTTTCCAGGTGTTCTCCTGTCCTTTGGGTAGATACCCAGGAGTGGAATTGCTGGATAATATGGTAGTTCTATTTGAAGGTCTTTGAGAAACCTCCATATTGTTCTCCACTAATTCTTTTTTTTTTTTTTTTTGGAGAGGTTTTTGCTATAGGGCGCGTGCGCTCGCCAGACAGACAGAGAGAGACAGAGAGATAGAAAGCAGGAAATCACCCCCCAGGGGGGATGGCCACGCCGCAATCCCTTCTCCTCCATTCTCCTCTCGGGATCTTGGGCACGCACGCACACGCACCCGGCGTGAGTTTAAGCCACCGGGTCCGGGACTCGAACCGCGGTCGACTACGTGGGAGTCCAGCAACATAGCCATTACGCTAACTGCTGGTCCCTCCACTAATTCTTGAAGTTCAATCTGAGCGTTCAGAGGTGTGCAGAGGAGGTGATCTGCAATCTCTCTTCCATTCCGTTTTTACTCTTTGTGCATCAGATTCAGTGCAAATAGAGGAATATTCTGGTGCAAATAGAGGAATGTTCTGACCCTAATTGTATTCAGATGTTTGGATCCTGTTCATGTGGATCTAGACAGTGTGTAAAGGCCACCAGAAATTAATCTGGAGGGAGAAATCTCAGCAGAAAATCTTCATTTTTAGTCAGGGGAAGCAATATTTCACAGCTCAAGTTCAGTGTCCATGTCAGAGGAACATCTTCTTTTATGTATATCGTTTGCATAAAAAATACCCCAAAAAAACTAGCTTAAAAAGAAAAGAATTTTAGGTCCTTCGTGCCTTAATTGTGTTCTCCCGTCAGAGAAGAAATAGTTTCTTCATGGTGGACCACTTGAGTCTAGGCTCTGTTTTCTTCCAGGGATCTTCCCCACTCCTGTCATATCTGCCTCACCAAGCTCTCTGATTCCCTGGAATGGGTCTGTGAAAATCCTGTGCCAGGGAACTCCTGAATCCTACCTGTACCAGCTGGTGATCCTGGGAAACGCCTCATACAAGGAAGTAGAGAAGAGACTGGGCATTCAGAAGGAGGCAGAGTTCGTCATTAAGCACATGGACACGACCACTGCGGGGCGTTTGCAGTGCCGGTACATGAAGCAATACAGGTGGTCAGAGTACAGTGAAGCTCTGGAGCTGGTGGTGACGGGTAAGGAGGCACCAGGGTCTCTGCCACTCAGGCGCTCCGTTGGTTGTTTTCTTACTTTTAGACTTATTTTCAGGAAGGTTTTAGATTCACAGGAAATTAAGAAGATACTACAGAGAGTTCCCATATCCCCAGCAGCCAGTTTCCCCTATTCTTTTTCATTTATTTATTATTATTTTAATTTGCTATAGGCCAACAGAGACAGAGAGAGAGAGAGAGAGAGCAATCCACCAGGTCTGCGACTTGAACCACTGTCAGTCATGTGGGAGTCCAATGCCTTAACCACCATGCTACCTGCTGGCCCACCGTTTCCACTATTGCCACCGGCTATCATTAGCATGGTACATTGGTACCACTAATGAGCCAATAAGATACTTCTTTCTTCGTTGTTTATTTGGGTTTCCTTCGTTTTCACCCCATGTCTTTTACCCACTGCAGGAACCACTCCGGACCGCGAGTGCCCGACGTCCCTTGTCCGCTCAGGAGCCTACACTGCACTAGTCACCACGGCCTTTGAGGCTCCTCTTGACTGATGATTGCTCAGACTTCCCTTGTTTTTGATGACTTTGACACTTTGAGGAGTATGGTCTAGTGTTTCTAGGGTGTCCCCCACTTCTGGAAGTTCTCTGATGTTTTCCTCATGATTAGACTGGGTTATGGGTCATGCCAAGGAACCCACAGAGGCAAAGTGCCGTTTCCATCACGTCACGGAAAGGTACAAACACTCGAATCTGGCGGTGGGTGTCTACTTGAGCACCTGACTGGGAAGGAATTCGCTGGGTTCTGCACTGTGAAATCACTCTTCCTTCCCCGGCACTTTCCACAGCCCATCCCTAAGGAGCGAGGGGCTGTGCTCCCCAAGCCCAAATGCAGCTCTGTTTAATGCTCTGTCCTCGGGGCGGCCTGACTGGGTGGTTCTAAGAGAATGCACCTGAGTTGCGGGTCCTTCTTCCTCCTGACATTCTTCAGACAAGGTCCCCTCCTACGCCTGACGTAGCTCCCCAAACTCTCCAGAGACCACTTCCCCTCTCGCAAACATACAGTTCTTCTGGATTTAGGGGCCATATCCTGTCCCTTGAAAGCGGCACCTCTCTTGGGGCCGGCAGGGTAGGGAAATCCTGCCATTGATGAAATGAAATCAGCCAGACACAGAAAGGCAGCACATAGCCCGCTCGTGTGTGGGGTGTGGAAGGTGAGCTCACAGAAGAGGAGAGTCGAGTGGTGGTCGCCAGGGACTGGGGTGATGGTGGAAGACTGGAGAGATCTCAGTCGAAGGGTACAAAATTTCCATTAGATGGGAGAGATCACGTTGAGATATCTGGTGTGCATCCCAGTGAGCACATAACAATGTGTTGTATGTTTGAAAATCTCTGGGTAGATATATTTTTTTTTTTTGGAGAAATTTTCACTGTAGGGCGCATGCACTCGCCAGACAGACAGAGAGAGACAGAGAGACAGAAAGCGAGAAATCACCCCCCAGGGGGGATGGTCACGCCGCAATCCCTTCTCCTCCATGCTCCTCTTGGGATCTTGGGCACGCACGCACACGCGCCCGGCGTGAGTTTTAAGCCACCGGGTCCGGGACACGAACCGCGGTCGACTACGTGGGAGTCCAGCGACATAGCCATTACGCTAACTGCTGGTTCCCTCTGGGTAGATATTTTAAGCTTATTTATTTTATTCTTGAGTGTGTGTGTGAGAGAGAGACAGAGACAGAGAGAGAGACAGAGAGAGGCACCCTCTGCTGGGTTTATGTGCCCCAGTCTTCCCATCAGTCCCACAGCCGGGACTGCAGGCACGCCTGATGTGTTCAGGCAGCCCTGGAACACCAACCCGGAGTCTTCCCATATGGCTCCCAGCACGGCGCAGTGGTGCCCCTGCTCCTGCGCCACCAGGGCTGGGCAGAGAGTAGGATTTAAGTGTTCTCAGCACAGATAAATGAGGAAGTGTGTAAGGTAATGCATCTGTTAATGAGCTCAACCAAGCCACTGAGTGGCGTACGCATATTTCAGAACAATACATTGTGTGTGGTAAATGCCAGAGGTCTTTGCAAAGTTCATGGGAAAATGTATCTTATGAAAGAATTATGCATGAATTTCAGAAATTTTTTGCAACAAAATATGTTGTTGGAAAAGTCATGACATTTTTCTGGGGTTTTTTATGCATCATGACTTTTCTTACAACCTAATAAACTCGTACTTCAAATATATCTTCCCATGAGTTTTTTTTTAATTTCCTTACATATACAAAATTTTGGGCTAATTAAAAATTTTTTTTCTTAAAAATGAGGAAGAGTCTTTTTTTTTTGAGAGTTTTTTTGTTTGTTTTTTGTTTGTTTTTTATTTGTTTGTTTGTTTTGTTTTGTTTTGTTTTTTCTACAGGGCGCTTGCACTCCCCAGACAGACAGAGAGAGACAGAGAGACAGAAATCGAGAAATCACCCCCCAGGGGGGATGGCCACGCCGCAATCCCTTCTCCTCCATTCTCCTCTCGGGATCTTGGGCATGCACGCACACGGGCCCAGCACAAGTTTAAGCCACCAGGTCCGGGACGCAAACTGCAGTCGACTACGTGGGAGTCCAGCGACATAGCCATTACGCTAACTGCTGGTCCCAACTAAAAATGGGGAAGAGTCTTTACTTGTCCCTCTCTTCTCTTTTAGGCTTGTTCGACAAGCCCCTTCTCTCTGCAGAGCAGGGTGTCGTGAGGCTGGGAGCGAAGATCTATCTCCGGTGTGGTTCAGCACACGTTCCATTTGATAGCTTTTCACTGGCCAAGGATGGGGAGGCTTCCCTTCCACCGCCCCAACACAGAGGACCCCAGGGCAGCTTCACTCTGGGTCCTGTGAACCGCAGCTTCTCGGGGAACTACAGGTGCTATGGTTGGCACAGCGGCAGCCCTTACGTGTGGTCGGCCCCCAGCAACGCCCTGGAGCTTGTCGTCACAGGTAGGTGCATCCAGGCTGGCCGTCCAGGGTCGTCTGGCAGGGATATGAAGGAGCACCCTGAGCGAAGAGCCTTGCAGGGGCTCACTCAGCGAGGCTGTGGCGAGAGGGCTCCTCGTTCAGCTTTCCCACCCTCCCGGAGTTCGGTGTGCGGGATCCTTTGCAAACATGTGAGCTCTGGAGAGAGGAGAAGCCAGCACCGAGTCGCACTTGGAGGCCATGTTGGCAGCAGCCATGAGGCCACCTAGACTCCTCTCAGGCTTGCGCGGCCCTCCTCTCCACGGCCCGCGGGCTGGTGGGGACGCTAGCTCAGCTCTTCTCACGTGCTTGGTTGCAACTAGAAATCCTTGAGCTGGCGACAGGGCTAGGCCCCACTCTGAGTGGCTGGGAGCTTGCAGCCCCTGGGGAGGCGCCTGGAAACTCTCACAAGCCCCATTTCTGTACTGTTTGCGTGCGTCGTTCTCAGAGGGAGGGGTTACTGCAGAACGGAGCAGCTGCTGGCTGCGGAGCAGGGCAACCACATCCGTGCCTCACACCCCCTGGCAGAGAGGGTGGCGCCATGCCAGCTGTGCGGGAGTCATGGGACTCCAAGACCATCCAGGCCAGGTCAGTCTCGCTCACGCTCGCCCTGTCGCTCTCTCTCGCTCTCGCTCTCTCTCATTGAGGGCATGTGTGCTCACCAGAGAGACAGAAAGCGAGAGATCACCCCCTGGGGGGAGGACCACACCACACACCACACACACCACAACCCCTTCTCTTCCATGCTCCTCTCAGGAATTTGGGTACAGAGGCACCCACACCCAGCATGAATTTCAAGGCGCTCGAACCACAGTCGGCCACGTGGGGTACGGCACCTCAACCACCAGGCCACCTGCCGGCCCCGAGCAGTCTCTTTAAGTCATCATCCTGGGCGGTCGGTGTGCGTTCACGTAGGAGTAATGAAATCAAATCAGTACACAAATAGATCGCAATGGATGAAAAGGCTGACTGCAAACACCAAGTATTTCAAGTCCGAGCGGATAATGCAGGAGAGGAGCAGCCTGACACGGGGATAGGAGACGATTTCTACAACACTGTGCAGCAACTACGTGCTTTAAGGAAAAGAGGAATAAACCCAATCAAACTAAACATAAGAAAACATGCTGACTCAGGATGCATGCCACCGGGCGTTGCAGGGCGGTCTCTCGGGAGACAGGCGTTGCGGGGTGGTCTCTCAGAAGACCGGGCATTGCAGGGCGGTCTCTCAGAAGACCTGGCGTTGCGGGGCGGTCTCTCAGGAGACCAGGCATGGCCGGGCGGTCTCTCAAACAGATTGCACCAACTGACAGTCTCCGTGTGAGAACGCTGCACCCTTCCCATGTCAGGGTTTTAGGATTTTTAATTGGGAGCTTTGAAGAATATCTCATTGCAGTTTTAATTTGCCTCTCACAGTTGACAATTTAGCATTTGTAATATGGGTATTTATTCTTTTTTGAGAGATTTTTGCTATAGGGTGCATGCACTTGCCAGAGAGACAGAAAGCGAGGAATCAGCCCCCGGGAGTGGGTGGCCACATGGCAGTCCCTTCTCGTCCAGTCTCCTCTTGGGGTTCTGGGCATGCGCACACACATCTGGCATGAGTTTCAAGCAGCTGGGTCCAGGACTCAAACCGCGGTTGACCACATGGGAGTCCAGTGACGTAACCGCTACACCACCTGCTGGTCCCTAATGGATATTTGAATTTGCCTGCCTGGTTATGAAACATTTGTTCACGGGTTTTGCCCTTTCTTCTGTAGTCTGTCTCTTGCTAATCGATTTGATCTGATTTATGGGAGGGGTTTTTTCATCTGGACTTTATTTCTCTATCAGTTATTTGTACCAAAAATTTGTTCTTCCTTTTCCCTGATGGACCTAAATTCAATTTTTTTCACTTGATTGGATTTATTGGTCTGCTCCTTTAGAGCACTCACTGTATCTCATTTTAAATACTATTTCTTGGGGCCAGCAAATGGCATAGTAGTTACATCGCTGGACTCGCACATAGTCAACTATGGTTTGAGTCCCAAACCCAGTGGCTTAAAACTCATACCAGATACGCGTGTGTGCACGTGCCCAAAATCCCAGGAGGGATTGCGGCATGACCACTCCCCAGGGGGTGGTTTCTGTCTCTCTGGCTCTCTGGCTCTCTGTCTCTCTGGCTCTCTGGTGAGCACACATGCCCTATAGCAAAAATTCTCTTTCAGAAATAAATAAATCAACATCACCTCTTACCGCAGTGCCGAGCGACTTGTACAGCCTCATCTGCACGACTTGACTGTCTCACACTCTGCCCCGCTCTGTGCCTGTGGAGCTGCTTTACGTTTAACAGGAGGGAGTAAAAGGTCTCTGAGCACTCTGATTCCCCGGTATTACCTAACCCTTGAAAGCAGTATCAGCTCACAGTCCATACGACACGTGAAAAAGAAAACGGTTCAGAGGAGCGCTGTCCAGAAGATGTCACGCAGTGTGGAGATGGGCCAGCAGGTGGCATAGTGGTTAAGACGCTGGACTCCCACGTGGCCAACCGTGGTACAAGGCCCAGACGCGGTGGCTTGAATATCACAGCAGGCGCAGGTGCATGTGTGCCCAGAATCCCAGGGGGAGAGTGGAGAACGGTTGCAGCATGCCCAGAATCCCAGGGGGAGAGTGGAGAAGGGTTGCAGCACGGCCGTCCCCCGGGGGATGGCTTCTCACTTTCCCTCTCACTGTCTCTCTCTCTTTCTCTTCTCCGGTGAGCACAACACCTTATGGCAAAACCTTCAAAAACAATAATGACGGGGGAACCAGCAGTTAGCATAATGGCTAATCGCTGGGCGAAAACAGTTAGTGTAATGGGTATGTCGCTGGAAGCCCACGTAGTTGACTGCGGTTCGAGTCCCGAACCTGGTGACTTAAACTAATGCTGGGCACGTGTGCATGTGCGCGTGCATGCCTAAAATCCTGAGAGGAGAATGGAGGAGAAGGTATTGTGGCGTGGACATCCCCCCTGTGGGGTGATTTCTTGCTTTCTGTCTCTCTCTGTCTTTCTGGGGAGAAAAACCTCTCTCAAAAAAAAAAAAAAAACAATAGTGACAATAGTGTGGCAAAATCTTCCCTAAGTGTTCCTCTGCCTACTTCTCAGGGGCTGGCAGGGCTGAACCCGCTGTCAGGTAGAAAAGGGAGAAGCGCTGTGGGCGGGGTGAGGTAGAGGAGGGAGTCCAGAGCTCCAGACGCGCAGGGGGGAGGGAGGAGCCGCAGTCCCCCATCAGGAGCCCCTCCCCTGTTTATGCGACTCCCCTCCCTGCAGGGTGCGCCCGACACCCGCGGGGTCTGTCCAGAGGCTGGGACTGAGACGGAAAGGGACGCGGCCGACCGTTTCTCTCTGAATTACGCCCCCAGACGCCGCGATCCAAGATTACACGAGGGAGAACTGGGCCCGACTGGGCGTGGCCGGGCTTGTCCTCGCGGCCCTCCTGGCAGTACTGGCTGACCACTGGCGCGGCCACAGGGTGCCCCCCGCAGAAGGCTGGTCAGCCTTGGCAGAACCGAGCTGGAGGGGACAGGAACGTCGCTCAGAGCAGACCTTCGGACAAATCCAGAGTGGCCGCAGGTAAACTCCCCGAGCCCGCCCCTGTGGGCTCCTACAAAGCTGCTGCGGGAGCGGCCGGCAAGCCTGGGCCATTTTCTGACCAATCAAATGGCATCTTCTGGGGCCAGCAGGTGGTGTGGTCGCTGGGGTGCTGGACTCCCACATAGCTGACTGTGGTTCAAGTCCCTGACCTGGCGACTTGATCTGTCACTTTCCCTTTCTCTCTCTCTCTGTTCAAATTTTACAAGAACAGTAATTGTAATAAATAAACTTAAATAAATAAATAATTTTTAAATTATACAAAAATGGTGGATTTTTGTGTGGATCTGACCCTGCACCCAGCCTTTCTGAACACTAGTTGTGATTTCCCATCTGTGTCTGCTTTCTGACATTTTATATCCATTTTTTCTTCTTTTTTAAAAATGTATCTCTGGTGACCAGCAGTTGGCATAATGGCTATGTCGCTGGACTCCCATGTAGTCGACCACAGTTTGAGTCCCCAACCTGGTGGCTTAAACTCACACCGGACGCGTGCGCTGGCCCAAGATCCCGAGAGGAGAATGGAGGAGAAAGGATTGTGGTGTGGCCATCCCCCCTGGGGGGTGATTTCTCGCTTTCTGTCTCTCTGTCTCTGTCTGCCTGGCGAGCGCACGCACCCTATAGCAAAAAAACTCTCAAAAAAAAATGTATCTCTGTAGAAAATAAATTGGTAAATGCCAAAAATATTCAGTAAGACCCCCTTTGTCTTTTTCATTTTGTTCTGTCAGAGGACGTTTCCGAGAGAGGGATAGCACCCGTCAGCAAAATGCGTCCACGCTCAGTTCTCTATTCTCCCTGTCCCCATCTCAGGGATTTGGGGCGCTCGCACGCACACGCCCAGCATGTTTCTCTAGCAGCTGGGACTGGGATTCGGACCGTGGGCAGCCATACGGGGTCCAGCTACCTCTGCCCAGTGCCCAGCCGCTATGCTGGGAGTCCGGCCTCCTTTAATTTTATGTATCTGTAATGTCGGTAAATTGACAAGAGTGAAAGTTGCAATCTATGAATTATTCCATTTACTTCATAAATCCTACTTCTGTGGAATTTCCATACAGGGGAAATTTAACCCCAGCATGTGTCTCACTGCAATCCGTTAGCTTGTTCTCCATTTTCTTCAGTTTTACAGCAGGCTTTAGGTGCACCATATCATAACGTGGGTTTTATCTTTGAGGGGGGAGATTTCACTATAGGGCGTGTGCGCTCGCCAGACAGACAGAGAGAGACAGAGAGACAGAAAGCGAGAAATCACCCCCCAGGGGGGATGGCCACGCCGCAATCCCTTCTCCTCCATTCTCCTCTCGGGATCTTGGGCACGCACACACACGCGCTCGGCGTGAGTTTAAGCCACCGGGTCCAGGACGCAAACCGTGGTCAACTACGTGGGAGTCCAGCAACATAGCCATTACGTTAACTGCAGGTCCCCATAACGTGGATTTTAGTTAACCCCTGTCACATGAGCAAACAGAGGCTCCTCTATGATAAATGTGAATTCACACGTTCAGTTAGGGTTGATTAGAAAATCCTAGAGAGACCGGTAACAGTCATACAACAATATAAATATATGTAATGCCGTTACACTATAGACTTAGAAATGCTTAAAATGGGGCCAGCAGGTGGCATGGTGGTTAAGGTGACGGACTCCCATGTGACCAACCACTTTTCAAGTCTAAGACCTGGCGATTTGCGTGCACTCGTGCGTTCTCTCTCTCTCTCTCTCTCTCTTGCTCTCTCTCTTACTCTCTCTCTCTTGCTCTCTCTCTTGCTCTCTCTCTCTTGCTCTCTCTCTCTCTTGCTCTCTCTCTTGCTCTCTCTCTCTTGCTCTCTCTCTCTCTTGCTCTCTCTCT